CCTGGCGCGCCGCGTCCAGGCCGACGCCGCGGCTGCGCTCCACGACGCCGCAAAGTTGGCCTGGCGGGTGCCCGCCATGAATGCCCCGGCAGCGGAATTCGCCATCGGGGTGGGGCGCGCGCAGGTCAGGGAGTTACCTGATCGCTTTGGCGGCGCTGTCAGTTTCCAGTGCGACGCGTTCAGCCGTGTGGCGCAGGGGCCAGTCGCCCCGATTATCTCGGCGAGAATTTCGCGATCGTCGCCGCGTGCGCGGGGGCCAACGTTCTTGTGGGCTTGGCCGCGGCGCGGCCCGGCGCGCTACAGTCGTGTGTGTGTGTGTGTGTGTGTGTGTGGGGGCGGTTGTTAGCCAGGGCGCTTGCTGCAGGATGGCGGTGCTTTCCACGCTCCAGCCTCGGCTCGGCAGCGGCGGGCCCTGGCGGAAGGCCGCGTTCCCCGCAGGCTGCCCCGCCAGGTTTGGGGGTGCGCTCGCCAGGCAAGCGGGCTCCGCGGCGGCTGGCCGGGGAGCTCGCAGTGGTCGGCGGCGAGCGGGGGGGGGGAATGAGAAGGAGAGGGCCTTTTCAAAAGGCGGCGGGATTTTCAGAACCCCCCGCGCCTTCTGAGACATTTTTCTTTGTCTTCGGGGAAGGCTTGGGAAACTTCTCAGAAGGTGCGCGGGCTTCCGAGCCTTCTGAGAAGGCCCGCCCCTTCTCATTTCCCCCAGTCGGTCGCCGCCCAAGTGGCGGGCCGCGGCCCCAGCGCGCCGGGTGCAGCGTTTGCGCGGCGGGAGCAGTGGAAGCGCCGCCCGCGCCTTTCCAGCGTGCCCTGGTCTCGCCGACCCAGGCTGAAGCGGGCGTTCCGCTCCGAGCTCGATCGAATTTTTCGCATGTCGGGGGGGTCCAGCGGGCGCCGCGCGAGATGACATTCGTGGCGGCTGCCGCGCTGGAGTCTCGCAAGCGAGCGCTGCAGGCGCTGGAGTTTAACGTGGTGGCGGCGTTTGGGCCACGTGGGCTCCGTTTGGGCCACGTGGGTTCCGATCCACCGCAGGTGAACTGGAGCGGGCTCCCATCCACTCCGCGCGCGCCAGGGAAGGTCTTCGGGGTGGGCCGTTGCTTTAGGGAGGGCGGCCACGGGGCATTCCCCGCGCAGCTGTCGTCGAAGGCGAAGGAGCACCGCGTCCTCCGGGGCCGGGGCGTCGGTCTTGCGAGGTCTGGGTGTTGCTCGGCATTCGGGCTCCTCGACCGCGCGTCGGCGATGTCGGCTGTCCAGGGGGACAGAGCGGCCGTGCCAGCCGTCGCCCCCCTGGGCTGGCGCAGCCTCGTCGTCGTTGTCACTATGTTCGGCGTCTGGAGGTCGGGGTGGCCTTCGCTGGGGCGGGCCGCGTTTCGTTTGCCGAGGGCGAGGCCACGGTGCAACTGTAGCTGCCAGTGTCCAGGAAGGACTCTCGAGCAGTCGGTTGTTGCAGATCTTGGGCGTTCCCATGTAGGCGAGCTGCTTGTCGGGGGTGGGGCTGTCCGCTTCGCGCCCGCGTTGATCAATCGCGGCCCTTCGAAGCCAATTTCGGCAAGCCGCTCCCAGAGGGCATTCGGTGCTCCCCGGGCCAAGCGGAGGAGCAGCCATTGCAGGCCTTGGTCGTCCAGGCGCTCGAGCAGACGGTGTTGGCTGACGGGGGATCAGTCGTGCAGCCCATCGAGGCCGAATTGTTTCAGTGGGCATTTTTTCGTGTTTCAGGAACTCGGCGGTTGGGGGCTTTTGGAGTCGACGTTATTAAGATTATGGTGTTTGCGCTCGCTTGCTTGGGGGCACCTCGGTGCCCCGCTACGTCCGCGAGGCGCCGCTGGACAATTTTCCGGCCGAGGTGCGGGCCTTGGGGGAGCAATGGTCCATCATGGCCACGCTACTGAGGGTATAGGAGGATGTTCGCAAGTTGGGCACTGACGTTCAAGAACAATCTGACGTCCCAGCGAAGCTCGCAGCGGACTTCCATGGGAACTTCGCGCCCGATGTTGTGCGCAAGTTCGCCACGAACATGGGCGCAATCGTCTCAAGGTCCACACGGTAGCCCTAGAGGGCATGGACCTCCTCACACAGCTGTGGTGGACGAGTTGTGGCGTTTGATTTGGCCTGTGGTATTTCACGCGGTGCGCTACTCTAGAGTCGCCTCCTCCAGACGCATTTGGCGTCAATTGCTTCTGCCAAAGGCGGGCCGAATCAGCCAGCGCTGCGTCCTCAACGGAAAGCTCGGCGGGCTCCTCAGCTTCGGGTCTGTCTTGCGTTGCCGTGCAAAGTGGTGTGCTGGGCCTGACCGGAAGTGGCGGGCCTGGCCGAGCCTGCGTCGAAGGCGCGCGGCACAAACACCAGCTTCGGGTTACAAGAAAGAAGATTGGCGACTTGAGCCGCTAGGTGTCACGTCTGGCTTGCGCTGGGGGGGCCCGGAAAGCTCTTGGCGAGGCGTGGTGCGTCGGCCGGCTTCGCCCAGGGACCTCCCGGAAGGCTTCGGTGAGGCGCAGCGGTTTTCATTAGCCGGTGGGCTGCATGCTCATGCTTCGGAGGGTGGGCAGGTCCGTCGCGCAATGTGTGGTGCGTTTTTTTTTTTTTTTGTTTGTTGAACACCATTTGTCCTCCATTACTTTAATGTCAGCTTGCGATTAACAAATGATGGCCCCCCCCAGGGCTGATGAAAACACCCCCGTGGGGCGCGACATTTTTTTAGTCACGTGCGCCAGGGCTCGGAGAGCTCGGGGAAACACCGCGCCGCGGATGATGGCAAACGGCATGCGGCATGAACGAGGAGGAGGAAGAGGGGGAGGAAGAGGAAAGAACAAAAAGGGGGAGGAGGAGGAGGAGGAGGAGGAGGAGGAGGAGGAGGAGGGAAACAGGGACCTAACGCGGTGATGGCGGCGCCGACGGTCCCTGCTCCTGCCGCCCTTGCCTCCCGTCCCCAACCCTCTCCAACTCTGGCGGCCGGGCGTCGGCGCTAATCACCAGCGCCGCCGCCGTGTGTTTCAATTTGGCGGGCGCCACCTCCGCGATTCGTCCGAGCAGGGGCACTTATTTTACGGCTTGAACAATATGTAAAACATCGAATGCCCTCCTTCGGATTTGAATGGCGTAGACGGCGACGACGTCGCAGGCGAAACGTCCAGCCCGCGCCAGTGACACGTATAGTGTGCGACATGGTTGAGGTACTTATACGGAAGAGATATGGAGCAGCGTGGGAGGAGGATGGGTGGGGAGGTAGAGGAGGAGGGGCAGGCAGGGAGGATGATGAGGAGGACGGGGCAGGAAGAGAAACAGGAAGAGGAAAAGGAGGAAGGAGGGAGCAGGAGGAGGAGGAGCAGGAGGAAGAGCAGGAGAGGGAGAAGGAGGGATCAGGATGATGATGATGATGATGATGATGATGATGATGATGATGATGATGATGATGATGATGATGATGATGATGATGATGATGATGATGATGATGATGATGATGATGATGATGATGATGATGATGATGCTCTTGATGATGATGATGATCATGAGGATGCTGAAGATGCTGATGCGGATGCTGATGCGGATGACGGTGACGATGCTGATGATGGTGCTGATGATTGTGATAAATAATGATGCTGCTGGTGATTAGGATGATGACGGTGATGATGATGATCATCATAAGGATGATGATGATGATGCAGATGAGGATGCTGTTGATGATGGTGATGATGAGGATGAGGAGGAGGAGGATCAGGATGGGCTTGCAGCAGGAGGAGAGGGCACAATGATGATTTTAACCGAGCGCTCCAATGAGCTCAAGGATGAGGGTGATGATGATGGTGACGAAGATGAGGATGATGATGAGGATGATGATGAGGATGAATATTATGATTCGGATGATGACGATGCTGAGGATGATGATGATGCTGATGCCGATGCTGATGATTAGTATGAGTATATAATGATGCTTATGATGTTGATGATGACTATGAAGAAGAGAATCATGATGATGATGATGACGATGCTGATGATGCTGATGCTGCTGATGATGGTGGTGGTGATAGTGGATGGTGATCATGGTGGACTGCGGTGTTGTTTGTTGTGGTTGCGGGGATGATGATGAGGACGATGATGATGATGCTGATGATGATGATGATGATGATGATGATGATGAAGGGGATGATGATGATGAGGATGAGGATGAGGATGCGGATGCTGCTCCGTGGTGATGATGATGACGACGATGATGATGATACTGATGCTGATGCTGATGCTGATGCTGCTGATGATGATGATGAGGATGATGATCACGACGATGGTGATGATGATGATGCTGATGCTGATGCTGATGCTGATGATGCTGATGATAATGATGATGCTGCTGATGCTGATGATGATGATGACAGACGATGATGATGATGACGATGATGCTGATGCTGATGCTGATGATGCTGCTGATGATGACGATGATGATGATGATGCTGCTGATGATGATGATGATGCTGATGATGATGATGATGATGATGATGATGATGATGATGATGATGCTGGTGATGGTGGATGTGGTGGTGGTGTTGCTGATGATGATGATAATGATGAGGAGGAGGAGGAGGAGGAGGAGGAGGAGGAGGAGAATGAGGAGGAGGAGGAGGAGGACCAGGAGGAGGAGGAGGATGAGGGGGTTGTGAGATCGCGGCATCGCTTCCCGGCGCTCCTGCCCTGGACCCTGGAGCTCCAGGCTCCGCCCTCTCCTCCCCTTCCGTTTCTCTCATCCCGAGTCAAGGGCCCTAACAAGGACGCGCGACTTTGGTCAGGGTACCCTTGCGTCCTTGCTTTTCCTTGCTCTTGCGTCCGTGAGGGTGTCGTCGTCCGCCGCCCCAAAACTCCCAACTTCGGCTTCCAAGGGTCTTGCGTCCTTACCGCGCGTCCTTACTAGGGCTTTCGACTGTAGCGGGGGCCTCAGGAGGCTGAACATGGTTGAGCCTCATTCCGCTATGACTTTTTTTTCACGGCGCGAGGGGCGGGCGTGTTGACAGCCCGCGGCCGAGGACAAGACGACGTGCTCCGTGACGTACGACGAGGCCCGACGCGCTGCCGTGCCTGGCTCGTTCTCTTGTTGCCGCGCACGGCTTGAGCTTGCGTTGGGTCGTACCATGCTCAGGTTCAGCGAAGAATGGCATACTCCAGCTTTCGTAATAAAAGGGAGGGGGTCTCATTTCGGGGGGGGGTCTCTTCCAGGCTATCTTGGAGGGCCTGGGGGGGTCTGGGGACGATGTTTTTTGGAGGGTTCTCCCACGGGGGGGGTCTAAAACTTCTCGTCTGGGAGGGTTGAGACCCCCTCCCTTTTATTACGAAATCTGGCATATCGATGCCGATACCCTTTCCTCGTGTTCTTCTTTTTGGGCCTCCTGGGGGGCCATCGTAACCACATTTGGATTCGTCATGGAGTCCTGGTCGGAGCGCCCGTCTGGACTGGTCGGGGAACAGCGGTGCCGCTTTTTTTGCTCCCCACGGGGGGAGAAGGCAAATCGTTGCCTTCTTCTTGCTTCCTTGCCTGCGTGTCTTCCTAGCAGCCTCTCTCCGCCTGCTTCTCGTCTTCCTTGTGTTCGTTCTCAGGGACAGGTAAGAGGGAAACGAGGAGGCCAGTGGAGAGCAGGAGGATGAGCAGATGTGAGGGAGAAGGAGGAGACGGAGGAGGGGGATGAGGAGGAACCTGGGGAGGAGTAGGATGAGGAATCAGTAGGAGCATGAGGAGGATGCATCATTGGATGGATATGGAACAGGAGAAGGACCATGAGGAGGAGGTGGAGGAGGAGGAGGATGAATGAGGAGGAGGAGGAGGAGGAGGAGGAGGAGGAGGAGGGAGAGGAGGAGGAGGCGGAGGAGGAGGAGGAGGAGGGGGAGGAGGAGGAGGAGCGGGGGAGGAGGGAGGATGATGATGATGCTGCTAATGGTGCTCAAGAAGGGGAAGGGACAGAGTCAGGCAGAAGCAGGGTCTTCAACGCCATGGGGACTCAGAAATTGAAGCTTAGTACACGCGATAACGACTTAGAGCGATACGTGACATCGGAGAGAGAACAGTTTGAGAAGCAAGTGGAGGAGGGGGAGAGGGAGGAGGGGGTCGATGAGGGCGAGGACAATGAATAACACACGCTGAGAATCACGATGATGACGATCATGAGGGAGACGAGCATGTGACATGATGACGAAGATGACGATGCTGAGGAATGTCGATACTGGTGCTGATGTAACTGCTGTTGGTAGTAGTAATGACGACGACGCTGCTGCTTCTGATGATACGTTTCATGGCGACACTGATGCTGATCATGGTACTGGTAGCGATACTGATAATGACGATAATCATGTCCATGGCGATGTTGACGATGATGATGATGACGATGATGATGCGGAGGAGGAGGACGGGGAGCAGGACGAGGATGAGGATGATGATGAGGATGAGGATGCGAAGGGCGGGAGGAGGACGACGACGATGATGCTGATGATGACGATGATGATGATGCTGATGATGCTGATGATGCTGCTGTTGATGATGGTGGTGATGATGATACTGATTCTTATGATGCTGCTTAGGATGATGATGACGACGATGATGATGATGCTGACGATGATGATGATGATGATGATGATGATGATGATGATGATGATGATGATGGTGATGAGGATGAGGACGCGGATGAGGATGGAGAGGATGCCTCGAGCGAAACGTTTGTTTTGTCCTATAGATCGCCCCCCTCCTGGGAACCAGAATTCAGAGGATGTCTCAGAAGGAGGAGGAGGATGAGGAGCAGAAGGAGGATGAGGATGAGGATGACGATGAGGATGCGGATGCGAAGGAGGGGGAGGAAGAGGAGGATGAGGCGGATGACGATGATGATGTTGCTGATGATGATTCTGATTCTGATGACGACGATGATGATGCAGCTGCTGAGGCTGAGGCTGCTGACGATGATACCGATGATGATGCTGCTGCTGATGATGTTGATGATAATGATGATGCTGCTGATGCTGATGCTGATGCTGATGATGATGATGATGATGACGATGATGATGATGACGATGATGCTGATGCTGATGCTGATGATGATGCTGCTGCTGATGATGATGATGATAATGCTACTGCTGCTGCTGCTGCTGATGATGATACTGCTGCTGATTCATTGGATGATGCTGCTGATGATGCTATGATATGATATGACATGATCTGATATTATGATGATGCTGATGATGCTGATGATGCTGATTATGATGATGATGATCATGCTGATGCTAATGATGCCGATGATGATGCTGATGCTGATGCTGATTATGATGATGAGGGTGATGATGGTGAGGTTGATGATGATGATGATGCTCATGATGCTGCCGATGCTGATGACGATGACGATGCTGATGATGCTGCTGCTGATGATGCTGATGCTGCTGATGATGATGCTGATGCTGATGATACTGATGATGCTGATGATGATGCTGCTGCTGATGATGAGGAGGATAAGGATGAGGATGAGGATGATGATGAGGATGAAGATGATGATGATGTTGATGATGATGATGCTGATGATGATTATGATGAGGATGCTGATGCTGATGATGATGTTGATGATGATGATGGTTATTATTATTATTATGATGATGACGATTATTATGATGATGATGATGCTGATGATGGTGATGATGATGATGTCGATGATGATGCTGCTGCTGCTGATGATGATGATGACGATGATGATGATGATGCTGATGCTGATGCTGATGCTGATGATGATGATGATGATGATGATGCTGCTGATGATGATGATGATGATGATGATGATGATGATGATGATGATGATGATGATGATGATGATGATGATGATGCGGATGAGGATGAGGATGAGGATGAAGCTGAGGATGAATCTGAGGATGCGGATGGGGATCAGGATGAGGATGAGGATGGTGAGGATGGGGATGGTGAGGATGGTGAGGATGCCTCGAGCGAAACGTTTGTTTTGTGCCACAGGTCGTTCCTCGCCTGGGGGCCAGAGTTCATACTCTTGCGTCGTTTACGAGGGGCCGTGGCCCGGGGGGAGCGGACGCAGCGTACTTTACTAGCGATCGTGGCCTCGGGAGCGCGGGCGCAGCATAGCTTGTGGGGATCGTGGCCCCCTGGGAGCGCGGACGCAGCGTACTTTACAGCGCGGACGCAGCGTAACGCACGGGGGATCGTGGCCCTGGGGGGGGGGAGGGGGGCGAACACAGCGCAATTTATTTGACAATGTGGCCCTGGGAGCGCTGACACAGCACAATTCACGAGGTAGCGCGGCCCCGGGAGCACGGACGCAGCGTAGTTTACAAGGGATCGTGGCCCAGGGAGGGCGGACGCAACGTCATTCACGTGGGATCGTGGCCTTGGGAGCGCAGGCGCAGTGTAATTTACAACGGATCGTGGCCCTAGGAGCGCGGACGCAGGGTAATTTACGATGGATCCTGGCCCTGGGTCAGGGACGTCCCGTGGCGCGTTCCCTGGCACGTTCCCTGGCACCTTCAGTGGCGCGTCCCGTGGCGAGTCCCCCTGGCGCGTCGTGCGGCGCGCCCCCTGGCACGTCCCGTGGCACGTCCATTGGCACGTTCGGTGGCGCGTCCCTTTGGCACGTCCCGCGGTGCGTCCCCATGGCACGCCCTGGCACGTCGCCTGCGGCGTCCCTTGGGGCGTTCCGCGGCACGTCCCCCTGGGACGCCCCCCTGTCACTCAGCTCTGGAGCAGCTATCACGTGCTCAGGCAGCTCGAGCTTAAGATCCAGATCAGTTCGGCCAGGACTCGGATGCAAAGGAGGACTCGATCCATAACGCTATAGAGCACAATCGCGGCATGGCACATCGCAATTCAGCACGGCGCAGCGCAGCACAGCCTTTGGCACGGTACATCAAGGTCCATACACTCAGCTTTGTAACTTGGCACGTTCCCTGGCACGTTCCGTGGCGCGTCTCGTGGCGAGTCCCCCTGGCACGTCGCGCGGCGCGTCCCCTGGCCTCTCCCGTGGCACGTCCGTCGGCACGCTCCGTAGCGCGTTCCCTTGTCACGTCCCGCGGTGCGTCCCCATGGCACGTCTCCTGGCACGCCGCCTGGCGCGTTCCTTGGGACGTTCCGCGGCGCGTCCCCCTGGCAGGTCCCCCTGTCAATTCGCTCTGGGGCAGCTACTATGTGCTCAGGCAGCTCGAGCTAAGATCCAGATCAGTTCGGTCAGGACTCGGATAAAACGGAGGACTCGATTCACAGCGCTATAGAGCACAATCGCGGCATGGCACATCGCAATTCAGCACGGCGCAGCACATCACAGCCTTTGGCACGGTACATCAAGATCGATACATTCAGCATTGCGGTTGCCCGTCACCCCATCGGGTGTCTGTGAAAAACGCTGCCATGTTTTGTTACAGTTCTATACTCCTTTCCGGGTCCGTGGGTCGATCGTGTTGAACACGTTGCCATGCCTTACATTTCAATGTTCCTTTCTCCAGAGCGTGAATTACCTACCCCGCTTTCGCTTCCAGGCAAAACCAAGCCATACCACGCGCCTCCTCGTCAAGCGGCCTGACCAGTACAGGCTGCAATTTGGCATCGTTTGGAATTTCTTGGAAGCGAGGGTGGTCAAAAGCGAGGTAGGTTTGTTTTCCCCGATCATTTGTTTCCCGCCCCCTCGTGGCCTCCAAGAGGCCCCGAAAGATGCCCCCCATTCGTCTCCGCAGCGGCTCCGAGGCCTCTCCAGGGCGCGACCCTTTCGTCTTCTCCGGGGAGCTCTCCTCTGGGCTTCCCTTGGGAGTGGGCCTTCCAGCTTTCTCCAGGAAGGCGCGCGGGCTCCCCGAGGAGGACGTCCGACCTCGATTGGGTCTTCCTTCTTGTCCTTCTTGTCCTGCCAGAGGGTCCACATTGCCGGGGATGGGCGAGCTCGTCGGGAGCCGCAAGTCAACCAGGGAGGAAGAGGAGGGGAAGGACGACGCGGGGGCAGGAAGGAGGAGAGGGGAGGATGAGGAGGAGGATGAGGATGAGGAGAATGAGGAGGAGGAGGAGGAGGAGGTGGATGAGGAGGATGAAGAGGAGGAGGAGGATGACGAAGAGGAGGAGGAGGAGGACCAGTCTAAATCCCAGACTCGTCAACGATATTACTATAAGCCCTTGCTTCACATTCCCTCTTCATAGTAACTTACAAATGATCATTTTCATTGAGGGAAGTTCCCCGTTGGAAGACAAACGTCTGAAAATCTGAAACTGCGCCAAAACACTATTCCTGGGATTTCAACGCCGCGAGTCACCGTTACTGTTGCGTTTTGGCGACCCTTGATCGTGCCAGAACACCATTCCTAGGACTGCACCACCATCAACGTGACCGTTGCGCCCTGGCATGCCGACATTGTGCCAAAACACCATGTCAGGGACGTTCGTTACCCATGATAACCATTGAACCTGTTGCAAACTCTTCATCCGAATTTGCGCGGCGCCAACGGGAGAGCCGCATTCGGAACCGCCATCAGCCGTGAAGCTCTTGCAAGTTTTCCCAGAAAGGGCTCTGGCCCAGGGTTTCTTTAAGAGGTCTACCCCTGGCCTCGACTTGCGTAGGGCCGGCGAATATATTTTGCCATAATTAACCAGGTCGCGTAGGGCCGACGAATTAAACAGTTGAGGAAGTCTCGAGCGAAACGCTTGTTTCGCAGAATGTGTTGAGGATGTCTCGAGCGAAACGTTTGTTTTGTGCTATCGACTGCTCCTCTCCTGGGAACCAGAATTCAGATAATGTCTCAGGTGAAATGCTTGGTTTCATGTGCCCAGGTCTTGAGGACATCTCGAGCGAGACGCTTGGTTTCACGTCCAGGTCGCTCAGGTGGATGTCTAAGATGAAGATGTGTTGAGGATGTCTCGAGCGAGACGCTTGTTTTCCCGTGCCCAGGTCGCCCAGGCGGATGTATTGCATGGGGATATGTTTAGAACGTTTTGAACAAAACTCTTGCTTTCCTGTGCTCAGGTCGCCCAGGCGGATGTCCAGCATGAAGATGTGTTGAGGATGTCTCGAGCGAGACGCTTGTTTTCACGTGCCCAGGTCGCCTAGGCGGATGTCTAGCATGAGGATGTGTTGAGGATGTGTTGAACGAAACGCTTGTTTCACGTGCCCAGGTCGCTCAGGCGGATGTCTAATATGAAGATGTGTTGAGGATGTCTCGAGCGAGACGCTTGTTTTCACGTTTCCAGGTCGCCCAGGCAGATGTCTAGCACGAAGAGGTGTTGAGGATGTGTTGAACGAAACGCTTGTTTTCACGTGTTCAGGTCGCCGTGGCGGATGTCTAACATGAGGACTTGGGCGGGACCTCTCGAGCGACACGCTTGTTTTCACGCGTCAAGGTTGCCCAGGCAGATGTCTAGCATGAGGAGGTGTTGAGGACGTCTCGAGGAGACACTTGTTTTCGTGTGTCCAGGTCGCCCAGGCGGATGTCTAATATGAGGATTTGTTGAGTATGTCTCGAGCGAGACGCCTGTTTTCATGTGTCCATCACCCCCGGGCGGATGTCTGAAGTGAGGATTTGTTGAGGATGCCTCGAGCGAAACGCTTGTCGCAGTAGAGTGCGTCGCAGTCCAACCCCGCCCCTCCGTGGGGCGTCCCCTGGCGCGCTGGCGCGTCCCTTGGCGCGTCCCTTGCAACTTTCTGGCGTGACGTGCCCTGGCACGTCCCCTAGCACGTCACTCGGCGTGGCCCGTTCCCTGGCTCGTTCTCCGTCGCTTTTCGTGGCTCGTCCCCAGGCGTCTCCCCTGCCCGTTCCGTGGCGCGCCCTTTGCAACGTCTCTTGGCAGGACGTCCTCTGGCTCCATGGCACGCGCTTTGGCACGTCCCGTGGCAGGTCCCTGACACGTCTAGGGCACGTCTCCTGATACGTCCACTGACACGTCTCCTGGCGCATCCCCCATTGCGCCCATGGCACATCCTGTGGCCTGTCCGTGAGCTTGTGCCCCGTGTCGTGTCGTTCCTTTTCCGAGCAGAGTCGGATTTTGAGGTCGAGTTGATTGAACGTCCTCCACGTTTCCACTTCAACTAGCTCTGGGGCGGTTACTATGTGTTCAGGCAGCTCGAGCTGAAGATTCAGACCAGTTCGGTCAGGACTCGAATGCTAAGGAGGACTTTATCCACAGCGCCACTGCACAATCGCGGCATGGCATCGCAATTCAGCACGGCACAGCACAGCAGAGCCCTTGGCACGGTACATCAAGATCGATCTATTCAGCATTGCCATTGCCCGTCGTCCAATCAGGTGTCTAGAAAACGTTGCCATGCCTAACATTTCCAAATTCTCTTCCGGGTTCGTTGATCGATCATATTTACGATGATTGTGCGCGGTGCTGGGACGAGAGCCACATTTTGAAAGCGGATCGCCCTCCATCTGTGAAACTCTCGCAAGGTTTCAAGGACGAATGTGCGCGGCGCTAAGGCGAGAGCCGCATTTTGAAAGCGGACCGCCCTCCATCCGCGAATCTCCCGCGAATTTTGAAGACGAATGTGCGCGGCGCCAAGGCGAGAGCCACATTTTGAAGGTGGATTGCCCTCCATCCGTGAAGCTCCTGCACATTATCAAGACGAATGCGCGCGGGGCTAAGGCGGGAGCCACATTTTGAAAGCGGGCCGCCTTCCAACCGTGAAGCCATTTCAAGTTCACAAATTTCAAGCTTCAGGATCGCACATGGTGATGAAGTCTCATGCGAAACGTCCGGCCCGCCTTGGGAACGGGCCTCGGGGTGCGACAGGTATGATATACCTATCAGGAAGAGGGATGGAAGAAAAGGAGGAGGAGGAGGAGGAGGAGGAGGAGGAGGAGGAGGAGGAGGAGGAGGAGGAGGAGGAGGAGGAGGGGGAGGAGGGGGAGGAATAGGCGGGATGGCAGAACCCGATATTTCTGACCTCCGATGATCCCACGGCCAGCGCCGCACGCAGGCGTCTCCTGATGCACCCCGGGTGGGCACCTCGTCAAACCATCGCCGCGAGCGCCCGAGTCTGCCTGCCGCCTCGGCCCTCCCGGGCAGGACTGGACTGGGCTGGGACCGGGAATCCAACTGATCCCTCAACCAAATGTTGCCCGACTTCGCAATGAACGCTGCCGATCAGTCGCCAGGATTCTGAGACGCACTGCATGCCACTGCCTGGGAGATTATTTTGGTATCCTCTGGCGCGAAACGGTCCTTACCCGCCCCCCCCACATGCTCGTGCTCGCGCACATACGGTAGGTTCGTGTCGTGTCGACCGGCGGCGACCCCGCCGGCGACGTTCAACCTTGAACGCCGCGGGCGACCCAGAATCGTTCGATGTGGAACGATTTGGACGTTTCGGAAACGGCCGATCGCTCAAGGTCGAACGATCCCCGCGGTGTCGGAAATCAACGCCGCGGGGTCGACACGACGCGAACCTGCCGTATTTTGGCGATCGCAGCGCACCCCCGCCCCGACGTGCCCAGCCCCGCCCAGGCGTTGTCGCCACGTGCCCGGTACACCTCAGGCGATGCTTAAGAAAACTTAAGTTTTCGGCCAGAGACTCGATTATTCTTAACGTTTCAATGTAAATCCCAAGATTTTGATAGAAGTTCTGGGTTTTATTCAATTTCTGAGACTATGAATTTCTTAACCCATGATTTCTTAAGCATTTCGCAGGGTGTACCACAGTTAGCGCAAACAACGATCTCTCCGGCCGTCTGCCCGGCACCGTGTCTTCTGCAGCGCGGCGCGCCGCCCCAGACGCCTCCGACGCAACCCCCGGCCAGGAGGGCGAGGAGGACGAGGACGACATCGACGTGAGGCAGCGGGTGCGCCAGCTGCCCGTGTCGCTGGACCGCCCCCCCCCGCTTGCCCTCGGCCTCTCCCTCTCCCACTCCCGTCCCTCCCGTCCCTCCCTCCTTCCCTGCTCCTCCCTCTCCCCTGTTTCCCTCCCCTCACCCCCCCCGCTGGCGGGGACAGGGACTCCTCCTCGGATCAAGCCCGCTCTGTTTTGACGGACGTTGGTCCGTCCATGGTATTCCTTGGTATTCCCGCTCACCGGGTTACGGCGCTATCTTCTGGGAAATGGTCGTTGCGCGCTACTATGCGGGATGCCAGCATGGACAAACGAGCAAAAGGCAGGCTTCCGAATCGTCCGCGCAAGAGGTGGGCTGACGATATTTGCGCCGACCTGCAATCGCAAGGGTATGATGCGAGACATGACAATTGGTTTCTTTTGCCTGTCTCGGCTGAGAAGTGGCCGGTGCTTGAAGGCGGCCTCCTCGACGTCCCACGTGAGCGCTACGGCGCTGCGCGCCTGTCCCTGTAGTCGGGGCAGCACTGCTGAGGCGGCGCCCTCCTCCCCCATCCTTCACGACTCAGCAGTGGAAATTGTTCAAGGGACCTCCCGCCCTGCCCGCGCGGGCAGTTTTTTTTGCAAGCGCGGGATCTCGAGCATCTGTTGTTTTTTCCCGGGGAGGGCGAAGGCCCAGGGCCCTCTTCTGGCAGGCTTTAATCGGGGATGCCCCTCTACAGGAAGAACATTCAAAAATAGTATAAACATAGTCGGATGACGTTTTTTTTTTTTTTTTTTTTTTTTTTTTTTTTTTTTTTTTTTTTTTCTTCCTTTTTGATTGTGTTTTTTGTTTTTGACTATTTGGGATTATTTTGATTATTTTCTGTATAATTTTAAAACTTTCGCCCAACATCCGCCTGTAGGACCTAATAGTAGGTGAGCGGTCCCCCAGTGCTGGACCCAGAGGGGCTGGCGACTGTCCGTTCGATAGGGGAACGATGGCTCGAAAAATTTTGGCTTAAAGTGCTCGTTTTCTTAGTCATTGTTTTGCCGATCGGCGCGGGCCCTCGCGCCCCCCTCCCCCCCTCCCGTTGCAGGACGTCGCAAGAAGCAGAGGTCTGGAGCCAGACCCCCCCCCCCTTCCGCCCAATGTCGAAACGCTGAAGAAAACGTTCGTTGAAGGCTGTGGAGGCGCAAGCGTTTGCAAAACAGTGTCCGCCCCCAGCCCCTGTGCGCAGCCCGGCGCCGCGCATCAGCCGCGGCTTGGGGCGAGGAAGCGTTGCAGCGCACCGAGGCCTGTATGCAGACCAAGGGGGAAGCTAAGCATAACGTCGATGAGTTCGGACTGGCCGTGGCCGATGAGTCCAGTGCTACGCTTGACGGGGGCCAGACGGACTCCGACAGGCAACGCGACGAGCGCAGGAAACCCATCGCGGAGTTGAGGCAGCAGGCTGCCGCGCTACAGGGTGCAGTTGGTGATGGCGAGGGGAGCAGGGATTTGAAGAGGGCTCGTTCGGTTGCGACGCGTTCTTCTTCCGTGCGTTGTCAGGGAGCCACAGCATTTTTTCTGGCTTCCCCCCCAGCTGGGAAGGATTGCGCGATGGATGGATAATGTCACCAAACGCATCGCGGTGGACGGACTTCTGAACAATGCTCCGAAGAAGGACTGCGAGGAGGCAATCCAATTATGTCTCGCTGGGTTGGGGACTCGTGGAAACGACGGGGAACGTGCATTTTCTTGCAACAGGTGTTACTGGTTTAGATGTACGCATATCGTTTGCTTCAAGGGAGCTTGCCACGTAAATCATCGCAGACAGTTTTGAAAGCAGCGCAACTTTCAATGTGACAGGAAACGCAGACGATCGGCATAGTTCAATTTGCATCTGGCGAACGAGCATGGGCAAGTCTTTCATGCAACCTGGCTGTTTGCACAACGTATCGTGCAGTCTAAAGTGGCGCAGCACATGGATGTCATGGGTGTGACGGCTAGCAAGCGCAGCGGCATTGTATCGGTCGGCTCGTTTGATGTGCTCAGGTTGTCATTGGGTCACGACGGCGCATGTGGGTGAAGAGAACGTCATGGGCCTTGGTGTCGGCGATGTGCAGCGGGGCGTGCAACCTCTGCTCGACGAGCTTGCGGCGCATTTCAAGTGGGAAACGCAGGCGTTGGACGCGTGGTTTGCTTCGGCGCGCAGCCGACGCGACTCCCCCCAGTCATTCATTGGGGGGGCAATTTCACGCTCGCCGATTCCGGGGCGGCTTGGCAGTGAGAGGAAATTTTTTTGAGAGTTTTGGGATTGCCCGTCTTCCCGGGGCGACGCGGGCGGTCGCGAGCAGGAGGTCGCGTTTTGGATTCCGAACGGATGTTTTGGACGAGTGGGGTGCGTCATATTTTAGCGGGTCTTTCGGGGGTGTGTCTGGGCGTTGGCTTGAGGCGCAGCGCGCGCGCGACGTGTTGGCGACGTGCGCGGTGTTTGGCTGCGGGGGCCGCGGCGGCTGCGAGGCCGAGCCAGGTCGTGAACTTGCGCCCCTGGAATTCGGCAGGGCTGTTCTGGCGCGATATCAGCATGCAGAGGGCGATGCAGAAGATCGTCGATCGCGTGTTCGAGCAGGGCGAGGTGATCGGTGCCCGGGAGACGCATGGCGACGGCGTGGGTTCCAGTGAGCACCCTCGACAATTATATTTTCAAATGGTTGGTTTTTCTGAAGCACCGTTCACTGCTGCAGCTGGCGGGGTGGTCGCGCGGGCAAGTGCCCGACGAAGTGCGTCGGCGCGTTTTAGTTCCCGGGCGAGCTCGTGTCAGTGGAGTTGCGCAGTCCAGGGTGCAGCGTGGCATTCATTCGCGCGGAGCTGGGGCGGGGCAGCTCGCGCAGGAAATTGCGCCCTCACGGCGGATCCTGAGTGTCGTCGGGCTGAAGAACAACCGTATTATTGCAGTGTCGGGGGCGCCGAGTCTGTGCCGGGGCAGAGGGGCGGGGCGAGCATGTTTTTCGAGGACCGCCATGCGCGGCGGCAAGGTAGCGAGGTTTCGGACGTCACATTTTCATGATTTGGATGAATGTTACCAGCGTTTGCACGCTCGGGGCCTGGGCAATCTGACCGCGAATGGATCTTCTCCGCGTCTCGACCGCGCGTTGCGATGCGCCGATGGAGACGCGCGCTCGGGGTATTAACGCAGGGGCGATAGAGGAGCTCCCGGGCCCACTCGTCGGCGACCGCCCCCCGTTAGCAGCGAGAGTTTCGCGCGAGAGGTCGTCGCTGCATCGCGCGCGCTCCGCGCCGCGTCGTGCGGGGGGCTTCGAACGGGCAGTGGGGCAATTGATGGGCGCGCTTGCTTCTCCGAGCCGTTGCTGGGCGCGTGTTTCCGAAGCGAAGCACGTCGCCCGTGCTGTCTGCGTTGACTATCGCGAGCGATCGTTTTTCAGCGGCGCGCCTTTTGCCGGTGGGAGGATTTCTGGAGTTCCGCGGGCCTTCGGGGGCGACGACTTTGGAGACGGGCGATGTTTTTCTGCGAGCGGTCGAGGCGGCGCCGCAGCTCCAGCGCTGCTCGCGGGGCGGTGCGTCGTCGGCGTCCATGCCCCGCTTGGCGGCTATCCGCAAGGCGTTGCAGGCGGCGTTGGCCGTCGACGACCTCGCAGAGAACGCAGAGATCGAGAATGCAGGGATCGAGACGACTTGCGTGATGCGGGGCCCTGTGAAGGAACTTGCCGCGCGCGACCCCGATCGCGGACATTTGGGCATCGAGGCCGCGAAGGGCCCAGCTGGGTTCTTGATCCCGTTGCCGTCGATGACCAAATGGGGGGATCTTGGGGCGCGACGTGTTCCGAAGGGCGCGTTGTTGTCGCTGGGGCGGTGAATTCTACGCGGGCGTTTTCTAATCGTTTTGCCGCAAGTAAGAAGATTGCTCGATTTCGTCGCGTCCGCGACGGCGGTCCGAAGCTGCGCGCGTTCTGCGCTGGGTCCAGATGGCGCCCCATGCGGGGCGTGGCCGGTGAGCGCGAGGGCGTTGGTCGTTTTGCGCGGGGCGCGTATAAACTGGATTATTGTTGGCAATGCGCAGGGTTTCCTCTACGTGGGTGTCTCGCGGTTATTGCCGCTGCGCGCGGCAGATGATGGGGCCTGCAGCCCGAGCGACGTGTGGCCGCTCTCAGGGGCGAGCTCCGACGCCGAGCTCTGCGCGAAAGCTCTTGCGCATCGTTTCAGTTCAGTCGTCGCTGATCGGGCAGGCACCCGCCGGCGCGGTCTCACGCGAGGGGTGCGCGCGATCGCGAGCGTCGTGGGCGCGGGGCCGCGCGCGGTGGCAAGGTCGTATTTCGAGGGTGACGAGTACGCGCTTATCATCTCCGATTTCGCCTCCGCCTTCCCCTCCGTCGCCGGGCCTGTCATGTGGGTGGCGCTGAAGGCGATCGAGGCTCTGGCGCGCGTCGTTCGCGCGATGTGGGTTCTCTACCTTGGTGACCTTCAGGTCAAGAGGTGGCGCGACGGCGTGCGATGTGCGCTTGTGGCTGCTTCCCCGGCCCGCCGAGGCCGCCCGCTGAGCCCCGCAATTTTCGGCTCGGCGACCGACCGCTTTAGTGGGGTGCTGCAGCGAGACGTTGGCTAGAGGGAATTTTCTAAGGGATGCGCTGATGACATTGCCTTGGCATTGGGCGATCCGTGGGCCTCGGTCCAACTGTGGGCGGCGCGTGAACGCGTCGGTCAGTTTTCGAAATTCTAGACGCTTTCGAGATGATGAAATACCCTTATGCGCTCCACGCTCCTGAAGTCCGATGGCATTGCCCACGTGGCCCCCCCCCCCCGCGACGGCGCCGCGCGCCACGACTTGCCGACTTCACGTGTTGGGTCCTCGTCTGGGGGCGTTTGCATCCGACGCATCCTGCATCTGTTCAAATGTTCTGCGGCTATCGGCTGCGCCTCCTCTCCTCCTCTCCTGACGCCGCCGACGACTTCTGAGGGGTGGCGACGCCCGCAGTGTGGCTCTGGCCAATACCTTGGCACACCTCCTGGGGATGAGGTGCTTCCCTCCCGCATTGCGGGATGATGCTGTGCTCGCTTGG